AACCCATCGCCTGAACCCCAAGGTCTCCCGACCTGAACACTGTCGATTTTTTTATCTGGGGGTTCTACAAAGAGTTGGTGTATTATAAAGAATACGATACACTCAATGAATTAAATAATAAATTAAGAGAAGCACACGTTGTCGTATGTGCATAGCTGAACATGGGCATCACTTTGAACATGTATTATTGTAAAAAATAATAAATTACGTTTTAACTAAAGTATTTTATGCTTTTACGTGGTGTGACAATTTTTAACAAGTGACTGTGCAAAATTTGCTCCGGCTCACACGTGGTCATTTGCCGGCCGCAAGACCAATCACCTAACAAAAGAATAACACTCAAAACACAAAATTAGTGGCGAAAATCAACTCTATAACTTGTACTATAGATTTACATAGTGTGACTCTTTCAAAAAAATGAATGTGCAAAATTTCCTCCGGCTCACAAGTGGTCATTTGCCGGGCACAAAACCAGTCACTTAACAAAAGTAACACGCACAATATACAAATAAAGAATAAATTACCCGTTAGTCACAAAGAAGATCAGTTTAAAACAAAAATATACATATATATAATACATAAATTTAACAATTAATATTTATTCGCACATTGTCGGCTCGCCGGAATGGAGTCCGCGAGCATTGATGCGGGGAGCGGCTCGAGGGGGGTGCGAATAGCACCGCACCGACCGTCACCCTCACTTCTGATCTCGCCACCGAATACTACACGCGCGCTCAATATTTTATCTCTCTGTATTTCAATATTTAAATTATTATACGAAATTACAGTCCACAATCAAGCTTTAATTTAAAAGTCCTTAGTGTAGGACCCTACATATTGTAATGTCGCAAACATAACCTACAAAATGACTGAGAAAAAATGTGACCAGCTTACAAGATTGAGAAAGGCAAGAGGTCAATGCAAACATGCTATAACCAGAATGGAGAAGTATTTTGCAGATCTCTCCAACATCTATGACCAAGAAGAATCGAGACACAAAATGATTAAAGAATATTTTACAACATTTCAAGAAGCACAGTTGGACATACTGTATATAAAAGATGATAACGAGACAGAAAATATTGAGGAGAGGTATCTAAAACTGTGCACAAGTATTACCAAACATAAGTCAAACATTTAAAAAGGTTCAACTTCAACAAGTGTACAGGCTGCGAGGCTTCCTAACATCCAATTTACTCCATTTGATGGCAGAGACATTACAACATTCCGGCCGTTCATGGATTTATTCACTGCAATGATAACAAGAAACCACTTGAGTCACATCGAAAATATGCTCTACCTCCGCACACTGTGTAAGGGTGAGCCATTACAAATCATTGAAGGCCTGCCTATATACAATGGGCTCTTAGCTTGCTGAATAACAGGTATGATAACCCTGCATTATTAAGCAATAATCACATCAACGTTCTTTTGGACATTCCATCTGTTCAAAGAGGAACAGCACAGCAGTTAAGAGACATGGTTACGCGTGTCAGACAACAGATTACAGCATTAAAAAATTTGAAGCAGCCAGTTGAACACTGGGACACAATAATTGTGTGCATATTAACTAGGAAGTTGGACACTTAAACTATTCAAGTGTATCACTCAGGGCGGGAGATTAATGTTGTACATTAAATCACTTTTTGTTTTAGAAAAAAAGGGCTGCATCTCTAGAGGTTAGTCCAACTGCGGTTGATAAGCATAAGCAAAAGGGTAGTATTAATTTTAGCCACTGCAGTCAGACAAAACAAGAGCTAAAAACAATGAGCTTGTGTACATAACTTACAGGAGACAATATTTTGTGTCCTGTAAGTTATGTACGCAAGCTCATCGTCACTTCAAATGTTGTGGACATGTTCTCGATCTTTATTTTCTTTCTGGTCTATTCAAAAGAGGCATGCTCATAAAAACGTTTATATTGTATACTTATTTAAGTTTGTCTTACATATAATCTGTCATGATTTACAAAAGTCTAACTATGATACCAAGAACATTGTTCCTAAGACGCCCTTTGAGTTGTGTAGTTAGCATATATGTAGTGAATAAAGTTCAGCTTTAGTGAATTATCTGTTATTTTACTGTACATGTCTCTTGTTATTTATAGTATAGTTTCATTTATGGCCTTTTCCCCCGGCCAATTTGTTTAAATCAACAATAAATATGGTAACTTTTTATACATGGCAACAACACGGTTGCCGCCGTTGCCATTACCGATTTGCATCAAGTGCTTTGTAATGTGTGCTCTTACAATTAAATAGTATATTTTTCAACCACAACTGCTTTTCACGTCAACGCTAACACAAGCAGTAGATGCATTTGGTCTATAAGGTAGCGACGAGCAGAATAGGTAAATAGCCTTTCTTCACTTCTTCACGCTAGAACACTGCTACGCTTTTTTTTTCTACGTCAACCCACCGGCGGAAAGTTCTTCTTGCAGCCACAGGAAAAACTTTGAAAAGAGTTCAGGATACATAACGTGTATCCTGAACTCCTGCATGTTACAGCATCATCTCTAGCGCACCAAAGAAAAAGATGGCAAAGATGAAAAAGAAAGAAAGACATCGTTACAAAGAAATATCGATCACACTAGAAAAACTAACGGAAACGAATGAAAGCTTAAAATCACAATCAATCACGTACGAATGCATGGAGTTTATTAGTAGCTATGCACTCTGACACTACGGGATAAGTTGAATGACACTCCAAAATAAAATCGAGCTGAATTTGTAGACGGAGCTAACTTTTGGCATATTGTAATATTCTAAAAATTTACGTGAAGAGTTTGAAATTTCTATTGAACCCCTAAGACAAATCAGGGGAAAGCATATTTTTAGCGATGAACTGCAGACTTTGGGTTATCATACAAGAACGAACTGAGGCGAACAATGTTCACTTCAGTAGACAGAGTAACTGCTGAAATTCGTGATTGATTCTATCAGCTGCTGAATCTAGCGGAATAATATTCTTTTTAATGCCCACAGTAATGCTGGGCTCGTAAGAACTTAACCTAGATCAAGTTCCTCTGGACATACAGAAGAGTTCCAACATGAGCGCGCACGTCTACGAGCGTTCGTAGCTGCAACAAACCCAGACTGTAAAAAGAGGTTATAAGTCCGGCTCTCTGGGATTATTAAAATATATTAATTACTCTTGAAGATGTCATAATAATGTTGAGTATGTTTCATAATAAAAAGGACGAAGAGAAAGTACTATACTTGGAAGCAGGAGGATATGGACGAAGTTTTAAAGATACATTGAAATGGAGAAATAGGATGTAATTAAAACTCTAGAAGATTTAAAATACCGAAACCTACACTGCGACGACATTTGACAAGATTGAATAAAAGATCAAAATTTGGAAGACCTAATGGTATGCCACCAAACATGGAAGATATATTAGCACAGCGTTTCATGAATTTAGTCTAATTTTTTTGGCTTATCTACCATTGATCTTCATCGTTTTAACAAGGAGAAAAAAATAGCAGACAAAAAGTGGTATTATAAGTTTATGAAAGAGCATCCTGTTTTGCCCTAAGGTGTTCCAAACCAACATCGATGGCCAGAAGTAAAGGGTTTTTTTTTGTATGTATGAAGAATTTTTTGAAATTCTGGATACATACAAGTTTGCTGTCCACCGTTCACACACCTTTCAAATTTATTAAGTGTTCAAAAGAAAAAGGAGGTTAAATCTACTTTGGACCACTTCTTAACCATGAAGAAGGGAAGGGATTGTTTGAGATGATTTATGATACGTCATAGGAATATCAGCAGACGAAAGGCACAAAACCTAAAAATCTCGCAAAATAGACGAAAAAGTTAAATAAAGGAGTCGTTCCTGATTATTGTGATAAATTAAAGAAACTCACGGAAGAAATATTATGAACAAAACGGAAAACTTTTTAATACTGATGAAAAGGATTGCCAGCTTAATTTGCATAGATTACCTGAAGTTTCGGCTGAACGTGTATCACGTTCTCGTGATCTGTGCAAGTTAAGCTTGATGATTTCCTCATCTACTTCCAAATAACGATGAACTTTTCCTTTTTAATAAGAAAAGTGCCATTCTTAATTTCCAAAGATTAATTGTAGGAGTTATTTCTAAATAAATAATAATTGAAAATAATTTAAATTAAGCGTTTTGATGTCCTCCAAACGTTAAGGTCCCCGTCATACATAGATGTATATGATGATACTTAGATTTCTAAAAATATCTATATTTTACTTAATTTAAAAATTAACATTCGTAATTAATGATTTATATTTACTTCACAATCAAAAAGGCCCCCATGACGCTTCAGAAACTTCAAATTTAGTATTCCGGCCCCCCCCCTACTATTAAGATTAACCCACTTTTTAAACAATCTAAAATCTGATTTCAATTTTTTTTGTATCAATTTGCGAAATTTTTTTGAATTTATGATTTAACTAGAAGCTATTCTATTGAGAAATATTTTTTTTTTGGATTTTCTGTTTTAGATGGAAATTGTAACCTTCATCTTTCCCGCCGCACGATAAATGCAACTCGAGGCACCTCGGCAAAATTTCTTTCCTTCTCATAAAAATCCCTGAAAAAATCCGAGTTTTTGAAGCCCCTAAAGCAGGCTCCCTTAAACAAGTACTTCACAACCACGAGCTGGACATGCTTAAGCTTCGTAGCCCAAATAGAGATCATACGTGCACAATGTTTATTTAAATGTAAGTAAATTGGTAATTATTTTTAAATATATCAAACAAAGGGAGTGTCAATTGCTTCGCAACATATACAGGTTGTTACAAAGTAATTGCTAAAACAACATTTAGATGCTGTTCTTGGGTCTTGTTCGCACAATGCAAATGTGTGTATACATCAGAATAACAAAGAGACAATCATACTTTATAAACATGTACACATTATGCGAGAAACAATACTACAACCGCGGGATAGTATCCTAAACCACTAGGCTAAAATAAATATAGTAAGTACATTTGTAAATTTATTATATTACAATGATATTGTTACAATACGCAGTGCCGCAAACTCACCCACATTATTTCTTTACTATTCTATTATCTTAAGGGAACTCATCACCGGGACGGAAAGTCCCATCATGGGGATGGCTCTAATAAGCTATTTATCAAATTTCATAGTTTTTACGTATTATAATTGGAATCTTAATTAAGCTGACAGCCTACTGACAGTATGTGGTAATCTTCATATATGTATATGAACAGCACTGCGGGAAATCAAGTTACCATGGGACGTACGCAACATTGCTCATGCGATGCCTGACTAAGATGTCATGCCTCATCATGTAATTTTGCTGCCTTATTTCACCCTTCAACCGAAACCAACTTAACAAGCTGCTTAGCGGCTAAAACAAGTGACGCTGATGTAAGCAGATGACTTTTTACAAATTCTACTTCAATTACGATACCAAACCAATTTTACATTTACAATTAATTTTAATATCATCTTTCAATTTTAACAATTGCCTCATATAATAATCTCAGGACAATTCACACAGCGCCCTCTAGACCGAAGTTAAGCTAGCTAAAGCTGTGTTATGGGTACTAGATAACTGATTCAAATACAATATCTTTTCGTAAATACATAGTACATAGAAACATCCAGACTCATACAAACAATCGTACTCATAAATATAAATGTTTATGCCGTGCGAGGAATCGAACCCGCGACCAGCGGTGTGGTATACAGCTAGACCACCAAGGCCGTCAAATTCATATGTATTCTAATATACACCTTTTCACACTAATGTTGTCAGACAACATAAAACTATATGAAAGCAGGAAGAGATGAGTACAGTCTTACATTACTAGCTTTGCTTGCGACTAGTACTCAAGTCCAACTTCATAAAAAAAAAGGTAATCATTCTAAATCCATAGCTTAAGTTTACATCCGTACAGACAGAAAGACAGATACGTATCTTAATTATAAAGTAATACTAATAATAATCCAGAACACATCGACGTGTTTCTATAAAATATAGAAATATTTAAATACATTTTTTTTATAAATATACATAACATTCATAAAAAACATCCAGACAAATACATACACAAATGACTCAAACATACAAATGTTTGTACCATGTGAGTACTACAATCCAAGACTATCGTCTAAGAAGTAACTGTAAGTTTATGTAAGTTACATTCGTATAAATACAAATTAAATATTAAAAATAAACTGTCATATTTTCATAGAACTTACCTATATGACAGACAGAACTAACTATAGATATGACAGACTTATTGGCACTTGAGTCTTGAATACATTTTATAAATGCATAAAACATGTACTTATTCTATAGTTTGTTTTATGCTTTATTTATTAAGCGCAATCTATTGGCTTTCACTCACTAATTAATTTGTGCTGTTTTGTAAAAATACATATTTCTGATAATTTGTATTTTGTAACCTTTGTAACCACATATTAATGCAACAAAGATCATACCAATACGTTAGAATGAAACCACAAAATAAAATTCAAACTATTTTCGTGGTTCTTTACAACTTATATTAATAGTGTTCAAAATAAAATACTGTAATCCCCCTTATATATATAACACTATACTCTTAGAACGCATTTTCATATTACGCGGATTTCAATTCCCCGTAAACTAACGTAAGGCTATAACACAGGTATTTTCCATATTATATTTCTGTACTGTGACATTTATAATAATTTGTTCATGTTGATTATGATGATTGGTTTTGTATAGTTCATAATTAGACTTTTTAGTTTACATATGCATAAGTTTTTTTATTTAGAATGTTCATAGTTTAATTCAGATTTTAATAAAACGTATATATTTCGTTCTTAATATAGTTTATTCTAACTATTCGATTTAAACCCCGTTATACAGGAATACTCCTATAACGCGGAACTAATCTACCGTGTTATAGGGGGAATTACTGTACTACACCCAGCTGCTTGTGTATGTTATAGCAGACTAACATCTTCCTTCTTATTATGTTAAAGGCTAATCATGTATCACTGAACGATTACAACAATATAGGATTATAACAATCACATAATTTTAAAATTTTATACCCTGATATTATTATTGATCATCCATGACACTACAAATTGATTGTCCACGGAATGTACTAGTAATTAGTATCCGTTATATTAAGCACAAAATAGTTCAATTGTCTTTTAGTACATATAATTTATTATCCGCTGTTTGTCAGCGTTTATCGCCAATATCATTGTTTCCCACGCTTGCCCGGTGGTTTCTGAAGCTGGAAAGTGCTAGTTTCTGTGGCTGGAGCAACGCCAAAACTGGAGACATTCAATGATGTGTTTGATATAGGTTGCTGTTGGGGCTGCCAGCCAGGGCCTGGAAAATAGAATAGAATAGAAACTATGTAAGAAGTATAAATATAAATAAAAGAATATATACTAAGTAGAAGTGGCAATGGGCAGGGCACATAGCTCGTAGGACAGATGGCCGTTAGGGCAGTAAAGTCCTCGAGTGGCGACCGCGGACCGGAAGACGCAGCGTGGGAAGGCCTCCAGCAAGGTGGACCGACGATCTGGTCAAGATCGCTGGAAGGCATTGGATGCGAGCAGCGCAGGACCGATCGTCGTGAAGATCTTGGGGGGAGGCCTATGTCCAGCAGTGGACGTCTTCCGGGTTGCGATGATGATGATGAGAATAGAATGAAAACTATGTAAATGTAAATAAATGAAACATACCACTTGCGTCAGCCCCAGGAAATGGAGATAGTGTGTTTCCAAGATAACTGAATGGCGTTGGTCCAGCCAACTGCTGTATGTTTCCTGTGAAAAGCATACAAATTTATTTATATATATAGAAGGCGTGAAGCGTGAAGAATTATGTGACATAATGACATCATATGACGGCGACAATTGCCACTTACAATAAGAGAGGCTGTTAGCTTGTATGCTATTCTAGTCACATCTTATATATAAAATCCTCGTGGCACAATATTAATTACCATACTTAAGAAAAAGGCTGATTTTTATGAAATTTCATATGCATTTTCAGTAGGTCTAAGAATCAGCTGCTATCTACTTTTCATACCTCTAAATGTGGTATTAAAAATACATATAACCCTCAATTTTCACGCTTTTATCATGAACCACCATTTATAATAGCGTTTTAATTTATATAATAACATAACAATAATTGCTGCATCAGCTAGTATTATATATTTCTTTTACCTAAAACAGCTCGGGGATCCGATAGAACGGCACTACCGAAACTAACTTCACTCATGTTGCCTGTTTTTATTCTCTTCTTGGAACCTTCAGCATCCTTCAATATTTGATCGAGGCTATTATTGGCTGTGAAAGACATTTGTATACTGTTAATTGCTATAAATACAAATATGTACATATATATATTATTACCACATTTATCTATACAAATAAATGAAATTTTAAATGTAGGAGTACTAAAGTAGTAATCCTACATTTAAAGTTTCATATGCATTTAGTGTAGAAACAACACACTAAGAGTCATATTCCACTATTTTAGAAGAAGTCCATACAGCAGAAAGATTACATTATGTCAAAGTCATTTAATCATATGAATAGAATACTGTATCACTCATTTTCGGCCACATAATGCATGCCACAATTTTCTATCACCATACTGTCTAGTTCAACTAGCTACTTCAGTTGATAAGAATGTAACTATACAAGTGAATTCTAACAATAATGATAAGAGTTCTCTAATAATTTGTCACAATACTCACGTGATGGTGTCTCGAACACATTCGTAGGATCTTTCAAGATGTACTTGCGTAGATTGAGATACTGTTCTTTTTGACCCTCCACCTGTGTATGCACCGCTTGCAGCCGCCCAGCCAAGGCCACTAGCGATTCATGCATACGCCGGATTCCTAATGTCAACTCTGAAAAATAGGGGTGAAAGTGATTGTTAGTAATGTGAAATGATTACTCCATTGCTAGCAATGTACCAAGTCATGTTGACCACGCGGTTCCCCCATGGAAACCATCGTGATAAATTGCTGGAGAATTGTCACGATGGGCCAAACAGGCCTGACCTCATGTTCATCCTATAATCTTCCACTGGTGCCCTGCCAGCGTAATCCATTAGCGCAGGCGGATGCAAAATTCCATAATCATTCATTAAAAAAAATCTCTGATAAGCAAATAATAAATATCATAAAAAAAAAGTAGACCACTTTTTTATTTATATTTATTGTTTGCTTTGCTATTGCTGTCTGTGCCTTTGTTACTTTTTCATGACTAATTGAACGGATTGCAATATATATTGCAATACATATAGATAATAACCTGTTTTATTGTCATTTTAAACAAAATAAAAAAGTTATGCATACTGTGGCAACCAGTAATTAAGTCAACACTATATAACGGAACTTCTTGCAAGTCGTAATAATTATGACGTACGACGTACGACGTAATTACTAGCCGTTCCTTCGTCTTCAAAAACATAAGGTTTTTGAAGACGAAGGAACGGCTAGTTTTGTACAATATGTTTTATTTAATGAAATTTGAAATATGTAGAGCTTTTACTATTTTTTTACTGATAATTTACTAATTAAAATTATATTCTCCTATGTAAAAAACACATCTATTTTCCAAACAAATTAAGGTTAACTTTAAACGCATATTAAACTGCAAAATCAATTTTGGACAATTCACGCTGCGCCATCTAGTCTAGACTAGAGATGATTACTAGACAAAAATATTTTTTGTAAATACTGTATGTACATAACAATACATAGAAAACACTCAGCCCAACATAAACAATTATACTCATAAATAAAAATATTTGCACCGGGCGATCGAACCCGGATTACCCGAGTAACGCGGTGTGCTAAACCGCTATACCATCGTGGCTGTCATTTATCAATTACGAAACCCGAAATAATAATAAAAAAAATAACCTACCTTGTTCAGTCAGCAATTTGGGTGATGACTGCATTTGTTTGTCAGCCACGTCCATTTGCCTTCTGAACGTTATTAATTGCTGTTCCAACTCCGATATTAGTTCCTTCACGTAGATAGGCGGTGGAGTACTTTCTAGCTCTATACCTGAAGTGAAAATTGTATTATAATATATAGTGATTATGTAAGTGGAATGGCATGGCATAAGTGTCAGTAAATGAACAGCACCATAGACTACTGTCCAGAAAAAAAAGTATTGCAACTCATGAACAGAGTCTGAGTTGAAATACTTTTTTATAAAGTATACCCTTATTGTCCATAGACTGAAGGATTAGTATATTCTTTCTTTGCGTGTTTCGCGAAAATGTGTTATAAAAAAATGTACATTACTTGCACAAGGCAGAGAATTCACGAAATTTAGGCTTATGCTATAAAAAAAACATTTCAGATGTACCTGCCGCAGCGGCAGCGGCAGCATCCTCAGCGGCAGCGAGCGCGCCGGCGGCAGAAGATCTCAGCCGACGAGATTGCGCCCGACCACGCGCCACCTCACTACCCAGCGACAGCGCCAACCGCAACGTAGCCTCCGCCTCTCGTGACACCTGCCACATTTGACTTTAACTAGTTTTTTTTATACCATGATGGTGGCAAACAAGCATACGGTCCATCTGACGACATTTATTTATTTATTTGCACATGTATCATTATAGGCCTAGGCCCAATACCATGATGTAACTAATACTATATTATTACTATAACACATGTTCGGTAATCGTATCGTTATCGTATCGGTAACGTATAATTTTTTTTTTGACAATGTACACAGACTATAATAAATTAGGAAACAGATATGAGGGAGGAGATTCCTTTCATTCATCACGCGAAATGCGGATAACACTTAACGCCAATATTATGACGATTCGATTCTCGGTTACGACCCTAAATTATACATGTCTGGTTATTTATACATTATGTACAAGGAGTAAATGTATTTGAGTGATTGTATAATAATTATATCATATTTATACATACCGTGTGCAATGGTTTGATTGAAACACGCATGACCTCAGAGCTTAGGGACTTTTGTTTCTTCACAAACTCCTTGAAGGAGTCCACTGTAGTGGATATTTCATTTGGAAGTTTTGTTTGCTTTGGGGACTCGGCTAGAATAAAAAATAATATTAATTTCATTAGTGATTCAGATTCAATAAAATTTGCTTAGTTTAGTGTTAATTGGTGATATACTCCATGTAATGCTTATGTGAGCAAATCTTGTACTAGGAATGCTAAATATTATAATTGATAAAGCTAAAGGTATAAAGAGGAAGAAGTGGTAGAGATTTAAGATGTTTGGATATCTCTGGTAGTACTGATTAGTTGGATATCCCATTTATCCAGGAAGGATATAGACCATATAATAACTCGATTATTTCAGTTGTGAAGCAGCTTGAAATGTATAAGTACTTACTTTTTGCATCTGCGGTGTTGCCAGTGCCAACACCAGCTGCTGGCGTTACACCACCCAAACCAAAACTTGGTGCAGCTATACAGAACAAAAAATATATTTATATTACTTTTTGTATCTTTTTGACTGACCATGAAGGTTAGTATTTACCTGCTATTTCAATAATTCATATATTTATTTATATATTTCAGCTTTATTAACCAATAAATAATGATACGAAAGGAAAACCTAATGCTATAGGCCGAAAAAAAAATATATATATGTATTTTCTAGCCATCAACCTTCGGGAAGTGCAGAGATGCTTGTTAGTGGCTTAAACATTGTTGATTATATAAATTACACATATTCTATGGGCATGTCAAGTGTAGGGTTTATATATTCAACAGATTAGGAAGCCACTGTTTAACCCATCTGTATTTTATGAGTATATTTATTTAGGAGTTATATTGAAGAATTTTAACATTCCACTACCAAGAAGTTGTTTACTACATCTAGATGTTATTTCTCAACAATATGTTATTATTTTTATAAATAATTACCTGAAATTGATGGCTGTGTTCCAGTAGCAGTAGTTGTGCCTAATTTTGCCCCTGCAAGAGAAACATTATGAACAATTTAAAATTATTAAAATAGGACAAATTGACTGTAAATATATATACTTATTATAGCATGATAACTAAAAACTAAACAATTTTCTTCTACTATATTAAAAGCTATTGGATATTTGTGCCTATTTGCACTGTTACAGAATGCAGTTACACACATTGCATGTTATAGTTGACATTACATATTCCTTTTGTTTTATTTTATCTTAATTTTGTATTATGTGTGCTTCAGCACTTCAGGTACATTCATATATAACATATTTTTTATCTATCTATATATTTTATTTCAAATTTAACTATCATAGGTGACATTTAAAGCAAATATTCTATATAATAAACTAGACAATACTTAATTACTGCCAAACTTTTTATAAATAATAACTACAGACAATAATGTAATACAAATTATTAAATAGGTTTGTCTATATGAGCTAAAATCTCGATTTTACTTGGCAGACTTGTATAAAATTTAAAATGAATATAAAACTTCAATAATGTTTTAGTAACAAAATACGAATTAGATTTTACTGTACAAATTATATAAACTCTCACCAGAGGATGGCATGATAGTATGATATTGATCCCTTTTGGAATTTCTTAATGCATACTTGGCATTAACATCACATTTAATAGGACTTATTTCAAAATTCGATTTGGGACCTGCTTCTAGGCATCGCATATAAGGTGTTATCATTTGGAAGGTTTGTGTGATTGGAACAAAGGGGTTTGCATAAGGGGAAGTCTGGTGAGGTTGCATGACACTGAAAATTGTTACATTGTTACTAAAGAGAACAAGGCCATCATTATGTTAGCACCAATTCCTATTTGAAGTGATAGAAAACCTCAAATTTACAATAATGTATGATCCATTTAAATGTTGCAATTTAGAACCACACAACTTAGCTCTCCACAGCAACTCCCAAACAGTTAATAGAAATTGCAAACAATATATATTTTAATTTATTAACTGTAAATTTTTGCATTATGTTATTTAAAAATACTACAGGGATTTGTTGTTTTTTGTTAACACAGCTTATTACTTTTGTTTTATTTAATTCAGTGATCAATGAGCCAATTCATACAACTTCCTATATTTATTACACCATTACTTGCTAACATAAAGACAGCCATGAACTAATAAAAGTGTTGCAATTACATGTTTAGAAATTAACCATATTTTTTCCATATTTTGTGATAATTATTATTTTTTAAAAATTAATATTAACAATGATATACATATTGCTTAAAAAACAAAGGTGCAAAAGTTATAACAAATAATTACCCAAGAAACTGGTAGATGTTGTTGCTGTGCTAGTTGCTCCAAACAAGCCTAGGCCTGTGCTTGGTGTTGATGTGGAAGCAAATCCAAAACCTCCCAAGCCACCGAGACCTGTACTAGCTGCTGCTGTAGTTGTGGTCCCAAATGACAGGCCTGAACAACAAATTCATAATTTATTATAATAATAATAATATCCCTGGACAATTACAATCACACAATGCCATTTAACCCCCAAGGTAAGCCGAGCTTGTGTTATGACTAAAGTAGATATAATACATACACATATGTACATACCATCAAATGAATGAATTATGGTTTAGTCAAAACTTTATTTTAAAATTTGTACTAATATTTTATCAGTGATAGTGTCTGTCTATTTGATACATTTTCATGACCAAACTAGATAAATAGATCTTAATAAAATATAAATATATATACATGTTTCATGCACATATCATTAAAGCATGAGAGTAGGCCATCTGCCAAAATAGTGTAATACCTAGTATACCTAATGTAAACATACAATATATCTATAAATATACTGTTGACAAAACACACTTTTTACTCTCTCTGACTCTTATATTTATCAAAAAAATTAATGTAATATATAATAGGTAATACCTGTAGCAGCTGTAGAAGTATTAGTTCCAGCACCAAAATTCAGGCCACCAGTACCAAGTCCAGTGCCCAGGGATAAATTGGTGGTTGTGCCAAATGCCGGTGTTGTTGTTGAACCTAAAAATAATGTGTTAATTCAGTTACCAGATATAATAACCACTTTTTGTAATTGGTATAGCAAACAGGCTGACGACCTGACCACCTGATGGTCTGGTCATCTATAATCTACTTAGTTTCAGATGTCTATCTATGTATCTGTCTTTGGTATTACAATTTCTAAAATTATGTACAAAATTCAGGATTTTGTACACTTGTATAATTTAGTGAAATAATTATAGTATTTACCAAAAGTAGGTGCAGATGTTGCACCGAATGTTGTACCAAATGCTGGAGCAGCTGTTGTGGTCCCAAATGCTGGTGTTGTTGTTGAACCAAATGTAGGAGCTACAGAACTAGCCCCAAAAGCTGGCGTAGCCGACGTCCCAAAGGAAGGGGCAGTTGACGTTGCACCGAAAGCAGGAGTTGCTGACGCTGCCCCAAATGCTGGAGTAGCTGTGGCGCCAAAGGCAGGTGTACCGGTGCCAAAAGTAGGCGCAGAGGTCGCAGGAGTCCCAAATAAACCGGTAGAGGGCTGAGTTGTCGTAGAACCAAGACCAAATCCCGGAGTAGCAGGTCTGTAATGCAGAATGTATTTGTTGCAAATTTTGAGGTTATATTATAATGAATTATTTGAAAACCGATTACCATTTTTTTAAATGCATAAGGAGGTTTGTATGTTATATTTTTTTAAATAGTCACTACTCTACACAAAAGTAAAAGGATATAGGAACTTACTTTCCAAAATTGAAACCTCCAGTGAGTCCCGAAGTGGCTGGAGCACTTGACGTCGTTCCAAATGAAAAAGACATTATAACTACTTATTGAAACATACTTATTTAAATATTTTAAATATAACACTTTTTAAACTTTATATTTTATTCACTGAGTTTCTTTTATCTTTGGTGGGAAAACAAGAAACGACTATTTTAATAATCTATGAATGACAGTCAGTATTGCCAGAAATCAGATTTGCTTTCCCCAAAATGTAGTTGACCCTAAATGCAATCAAAAGTTCCATTTTCTTTTATTATTATTTATTACATTATACAATTTTTTTAATATGCTTTACTGCTCTGGATACAACTCCTTTTGAACACTACCTTAACAATTACGTTTCACGGAGTAAATAGTGTTGCCATTGAATGAAATTTATCGCTTGCTAAATCAATTTCGTTGGCTTGAGTAATCGCTTTGCATCAGAAATCGAACAAAATATATGAGATAGGTTAAAATCTTACTAATATTATAAATGCAAAAGTTTGTTTGGATGGATACTTTACTGCTACTTTACTGATACATGATATATTAAACATAAATACTATTTTTTTTATATGTAGGTAAATTTTATGCAAGGAGTCTCTTTTTTTTTACAAATGACAAGTTTATTTCCAAGTGACATCACTATTTAATATAGTCATAAAAACCAGCTATTATAATTCTACAGTTAAAATGAACCATTTAGCCGGCGGTGGTCATCTCCACAGGTCTTGCAAAGTTATATTTAAAGTGACTCCTGACAGTTCTGGAATTCCATTTATACCATTAGTATATCCACAACCCATATCCATAGTCAGGCCTCCGCCTGTTCGGGTTGCGGATGAACATTTTAAGCGCTTGTACACTGGCAACTTGAGAGCTCAAAGTGGATTTTCCAATGTGGCTGGTATTTTCAACATGACCTCATTTTAAATTGTTTTCTTCTGTGTGCCTAATATTAAACTCGATTTTAGTTTTTATTTGCGCGACTAATAAAATATATAAAACCTAATCTAGCTTTTCTGATTACTATTACCATTATAAATATTTATATATTTGTAAAGGAATGGGTAACGAATTGATACCTTAGAATAGATGTTGAAGTTATGGTCTGCAAGCTCACAAGTCTAGGTGATCTAAATTTCCTCCCGTTGTGTTTTGAAGCTTAGTGAAATTCAGCTGCAGTTCCGAGATTGGGTTGAAGATTTCATTTCATTTCCTTAGGTTGAAATTGCTAGAATATCACAGTAGGTTAACTATGATATTCTATACCTACTATATGATATGATATACCTACAGTATTAGCTGCCATACTTCACCAAAAGGGCTTAACTGATTTTGATGAAATTTTATAATATACACGGTAGGTTTGACAATAGGTTGTTATTAATTTTTATACCCCTAGGTGATAAGGGTATACCAGATTCCCTTATACCAGAAAATTTTAATATTTATATTTTGTACAATTTTTATTTTTTTATAATGTGTCATGAAATATACATTTATAAATTTTCAAGCTACTACCACCAGCCACTGTTTTCAATAGCGATATTAATTTACATGGAAAACAACGTTTGCCGGGTCAGCAGTTGCGTTACTGAAATGGACTTTAAACTGGTGCATAAGCTCTATCTTATGGAATGCAAAATTGACAATATTATAATTCAATACTTTTAGCCGACGTGTATCCCTCTACATTTAAGTCATCTGACAATTTTATTTAATTAAAATAGCATATACGAATATACTAACATCTTACAAATTTTAGAGTGAGAGGAATTCACTGATCCTTTTTTTCAATATTCGTGCTATCAGCTCACATATGGTTTAACCACAGATAACATAATATTACATACAGATACCCCATCCCATACAAGAAAATGGTTCCTTCCTAACTCGGGCTATTCTTCGGGCTATTTTATTTCGCCACCGTAGCCGCTAGATGTCGCTAGATCTGAAGCAGTTCGGATTACTAGTGGGTGCTTAGTAACAAAGCATGAAAATAGATGGCAGTGAATTCAGTCTACATGACATCTGTTTTGCAAAGATATGTATATAATAGATATGTAGGTAACTGTATCGTGTACCTCATTAGGGACGATTCAAGATTCAATGTAAATGTGTAGGTATAATATCGTTAGCCGACACTCTGCAGATATGGCTTATGTGCCAATGTATATACCTATTGTTTTATGGTTTATTTTACATTCCATGCCTATTTTTTTTGATATGTTGTAACGCGTCTGCGCTATACGTATAGCCTGATTTTGATACATTTATACTCGTACGTATCAAAATCGGGCTATACGATTTTTTATTTCAATCGTTATATGTATGAGACTGATTTTAGCTACAATTAATTTACTGGTATATACCTCATGTATTCTACGATGTACCCCTCTTTTACCTAATGAGAATTCCGCTATATCTTATATATAAATTTTGTATCACAGTGTTAGTTGCCATATTTCTCCCACATTTTGATGAAATTTGATATGTATACTTCCCAGGTCTGAGGTAGGGTTGTTATCTATTTTTTATACCCCTAAGTCATAGGGGTGGCCTACCCCGAAAAAATATTTTTTTGTATTATGGACAATTTTTTATTTATTTATAATGTTACATTGAAAATACATACACGCCTAAATTTTCACCCGTCTTTCACCAACCCCTATTTTTAATAGCGATATTCTTACAAATATTATAAATGCTAAAGTAACTCAGTCTGTCTGTTTGTCTCGCTTTCACGCCAAAACTACTGAACTGATTTAATTGAAATTTGGTAGACAGATAATGTAGACCCTGAGAAAGGCTACTTTTTAATGCGAAAAAGTATTGAAAGGGGAAATGAAAGGCTATATGAGGATATCGTAATTTTTAAAGTCAGATCTTGTAAGATTAAGTGAACAGGGTCGGTCTAGGTTTTTCATTATTAGAAATGTGTAACGGGGTAACACATTATTTAGTGCGAAATTGTGTATATTACAATAAAATTTAACGAGAAAATATTATAATGATATCACTGGGACACTCATTGCCTTACTACTATATCGTCCGTTAGGAGCGAACTTTCTGGAAACACGAGAGGCGCTATCCTATTGGTCGGTCGGCGCGGTTACCGCGCGTAGATGAGTAGATGAAGTACTTAGACGAGTCTCACGGCGCCGCAGCGTAAGTACTTACTATACATACGTAGTATACATATGGGTATTACAAATGTTTTTATTACTAGTAATATTACTCTGTTATCTAAGCAAGTAATGTGTGCTTATTTTGAACTTGATAACATTCTGAATTACTCGTATATCTTTCAATATCTTTAGCGGTATAAACCAGGTTATGTACTACTACTAGTATTGTTAGTGAGGGATAAAGTTGATGAACAAAAATAAAACAATATTCGTATTAAAAATATATTCATCTAATATTTTTGGCATTATTTTTAAGTTTCTTCAAAATATAAGGGGTCTGACATGGGGTGTTATGTACCTACATTAAAAAATACTTTTTGAAATGTATGAAAGAAACGTATTGTATGAAATTTTTGAAATGTGTGAAATGTATGCACCTACATTAAAAGATAATTTTTGAAATGTATGAAAGAAATGTATTGTATGAAATTTTTGAAATGTATGTACCTACATTAAAAGATAATTTTTGACATGTATGAAATGTATGAAAGAAATGTATGTACCTACATTAAAATATAATTTTTGAAATGTATGAAAGTAATGTATGTACCTACATTAAAATATAATTTTTGAAATGTATGAGATGTATGAAAGAAATGTATGTACCTACATAAAGAGTTCATTTTTGAAATGTATGAAATGTATGAAAGAAATGTATGTACATTAAAATATAATTTTTGAAATGTATGAGATGTATGAAAACAATGTATGTACCTACATAAAAAGTTCATTTTTGAAATGTATGAAATGTATGAAATAAATGTATGTACCTACATTAAAAGATATTTTTGACATGTATGAAATGTATGAAAGAAATGTATGTACCTACATTAAAAGATAATTTTTGACATGTATGAAATGTATGAAAGAAATGTTTGTACCTACATTAAAATATAATTTTTGAAATGTATGCACCGTACAATAACAATACACGTTAAACATCATACCACAGAGTCATACGCAAGTTAAAAACAAACTGCTATGATATTAATGAGAAAGGAAAATAAACTTTATGGTATTCGAGTTAGGGTCGATTTCTCTCTTTTTTTTTAAACTATTTTAATCTTACCAGTTGCCAGTATTCGAAGACAGCTACGATTCGTACTCGATATTTTAAATTATTATGTAATCGATTTTTCAGTACAAATGTAAATAACCAACGACACTAATAATGTACTACTATATTCCGTTCTTTGAAACGGAATACTGCTATACTTAATACAAAATAATGAAAATTTACTGTTCACAACGACTCATTAAAAGCATCATCGAATAATGCGCTGTAATAAAATCCTGTTATCGATTATTAAAAAAAATCGATAATACATGTATTTATTTTTAATATGACAACACTTCATACATAAGTATTATTGGAAATAGTATTATTTGCTTGTTCGGCTATTTTTAATTTACTTAAACTTTTTTTATATGTTTAATTTACAATAATAATATATTAAGTGCTTATTATTGGAAAATATAAAAAAGACATTTAATTAGGCCGATACAAATGACAACAATGCCATCTATCAAAGCATTTTGAAAACATTGAGCCCCGTATTAGCACTGATTAAAGTGTAATTAAGTACTGGAAAATAACAAAATGAGTAAATATATGAAAATTACTTTTCTAAACGCATTATTTCATTTTAACATGTATATATATTTTTTTAAAAATGGATTAAACTATTTTGAAAACACAGTTTTGTTTTTTAAAACGTTTGCAAAACTATGAAGAATTCCATCGATACCAATCACGCCATCTATATGCAACTTTTAGCAATAATAATGGCTATTTCCTCATTGAGTGCCACTGGTTTAACTATGACTTGGTAGCAATTGGACCGAGAGAAAACGACTGATTGTAGCCGCCAACTCCCGCTGTTTTCGATACATGCTTGATT